ACCCACCCTGAGCCTGTTTACAGGATGGGCGGGATATAGATGCAATAAATAAATAAATAAATAATAAAATAAATACCTTTTAGGATAGAAACGTAACATTTCCATATTCAGCATAAAGTAAAGGTAAAGGCTCCCTTGCTCGAAAGCCAGTCGAATCCGACTCTCGGGTTGCAGTGCTCATTTCCATTTCAAAGCCGAAGAGCCAGCGCTGTCTGAAGACGTTCCCGTGGTCATGTGGCCGGCATGACTAAACACCAAGGCGCACGGAATGCTGTTACCTTCCCACCGAAGTGGTACCTATTTATCTACTTGCAATTTCTTGCTTTCGAACTGCTAATATTCAGCATAGAATACTTCGATGCAAACCTAGTGCACTAGTGTGAAATACAGAGCGCCCTGGTCTAGTCAACAAGGCCTCACAGAGAACTGATTGAAGACCAACCCAGAGCAACCAAGTCTTCAACAATTTAGACCCTCAGTACCCACAGGTGCAGCCCACAACACACCTTTTGCAGAAGAATATCAAAATAAAAAGAACAATATTCAGCTTTAACTCATACCCAAGTTACCCTAGACAGTCAAGGATGGTACGTGTAAACTTTACTGTGACCTTCTTGGAAGCACCGACCCCTGTTTCAGCAAGTATGTTGCAGGTCAGAAGCTACAAACCTTCTCATTAGGAGTCTTTTTTTTTTAATAAAATTTATTTAGAATTTTCAAAATACATCATATTCTCGAATTACAGTTATCATTCTTGCAAGTCACTCAAGGTCTCTTTGTCCAACCATATATAAAATCTTTTCTATCTTTTTTCAAATTTCTCTTTACTGTTACCTTTTAACATTAAGCTTAGTTTATCCATTTCAGCTACCGATAACATCTTATCAACTATATCATTTCTAGAGGGTAGGTCTTCTAATTTCCATTTTCTGGCTAATAAAATTCTAGCTGTTGTAAGAAAATATGTAATTACATATTTGTTTGTTTTAGTATATAATTCTGGAAGCATATTCAATAAAGCTATCTCTGGTACAAAAGGTATTGGTTCTTCTGTTATTTCATTTATCATTCTAAAGATTTTTTTCCAGTATCTCTGTACTCTCTCGCATCTCCACCACATATGCATAAATGTTCCAACATTTCGTTTACATTTCCAACAGTTCTTATTAGGAGTGCCATAGCATTTTGCTAATTTTTCTGGTGTCCAGTGCCACCTGTAGAACATTTTGTATATGTTTTCTTTATATGGGATTGCTCGCATGAATTTTATTGACTGCCATGTTTTTACCCATTGTTCAGCCTCTAAAGTGCATTGTAGATCCTTTGACCACGTAATCATAGTGCCTTTTATCGTATCATCTACCAAATAGTCTGACATTAGTAGTTTATACAGTTTTTGAATTAGCTTATCACTTGAGGACAGCCAAATTCTGTCTAAATTGTTTTTCTCTTTATAAAATCCCACTTTTTTATCTCTGTTATATCTTGAGTTTAGTTGCATTATATCCCACCAGGTGAGTTTCGCCTTTTGTTTATCTAATTGTTCTACACTTTTCAAATTATCATTTTCATCTAATAGGTCTTCATATGTGACTTGCCACCTCTTCTCCATCAAAGTCGGTAACATTTCTGCTTCAATCGGTGCTACCCACAAAGGTGTTTTTAAATAGTATTTTAATTTAATTTCCTTCCAAATACCTATTAGGGCTCCCCTTATCGTGTGGTGAGTAAAGTTCTTTGGCGTTCTACCTTCTTCATACCAAATATATTTATGCCATCCTGAGGCTAGATCATGCCCTTCCAGTTTTAATAGTCTAGGATTTTCTAATGTTATCCAATCTCTAATCCATACGAGTGCCGCTGCTTTATAATACAAATTCCAATTTGGTACTCCAAAACCGCCCATCTCCTTTTTGTCCTGCATATATTTACAGTTAATTCTTGGCCTTTTGTTGTCCCAAATGAATCTATTACACGTTTTTTCTAGGTCTTTAAAGTATAATGTCTTTCTTAGAATTGGTATATTTTGCGCCAAAAAGATAAACCTGGGTAAAATATTCATCTTCACAGCAGCGATTCTGCCCATCATGGATAATTTTAGATCTTTCCACCTATCTAGATCCTTTTTGAGTTTCATTAAGTAAGTTATTATAGTTATCTTCTATAAGTCTGATATTCCGACTTGATATCGTTATACCTAGGTATTTAATCTTTTTAACTATTTCCATTTTTGATAGTTCTTGAATCTTTGCTTTTTGTAACTTTGAGCAATTTTTCGTTAATATGTTAGTTTTCTTGAAATTGATTTTAAGCCCAGCCACTTGTCCATATTCTTCTATTACATGTATTAAGGTTGTGATAGATTCTATTGGTGTATCTAGTATAAAGACCAGATCATCTGCATATGCTTGTAGTTTATATTCCTCCCCCTTTATTCGTAATCCTTTAATTGCGGTATCTCATTAGGAGTCTTTGACACATATGAGGGGGAAATGGTAGACTTAGAGAAATGAAAACTATTCTTTTTGGAGCAGAGTGCCTTGTCAGGCTAAAGAGAGGCTTGAGAGATGACATCGCTAAGCCTGCAAAGGCTCATGGGCAAGGAACCAAACAAAGAGGCCTTAGCTAATATAAGCTGTTAGACAGAAATGCCCCAGGCTCGCTGATTTTTCTGCCACAATGCGACGAGCAGGGCGGACAGCCCGGGTCCCCCTTACTTTCTTGGGGGAGCAGATGCTCCTGCTGTTTCTACGAGGTGTCTGGGCGAGAGATCCTCTGAACGCCGTTCCCTTTACCCATCTCAAGCCTGACATCCTGTTCCTTCCCTGTCTGCTCCCTTCCAGGGTGCCGTCTCTGCCTGCCGTGATCTCTGAGGAGGGAATCTGCTTTTCCTTTCAGGGTCCCTTTTCCTTTGAGGAGGTGTCCATCGATTTCACCGAGGCAGAATGGGCCCTGCTGGATCCGGGACAAAGAGCTCTGTACAGGGAAGTCATGCTGGAGAACTACGAGAATGTGGCGTTTCTGGGTAAGGGTCTTTCCTTGGTGCCAAGGGTGCAAATTGCTGCCATTGTGAGGAGGCATGAATCAAAATATTGAATAGCTATTCACAGTTTTGAGGCCTGTCCCGCTACTGGGGGAGGGGGGCTGTGGCTCCCTGGCAGAGCATCTGCTTGGCATGTAGAAGGTCTCAGGTTCAATCCCCAGCATTTCCAGTAAAAAGGATCAGGTAGGAGGTGATGTGAAAGACTTCTGCCTGAGACCCTGGAGAGCTACTGCCGGACTGAATAGGCAACACTGACTTTGATGGGCGAAGGGTTGAATTCAGCATGAGTCAGGTTCCTGTGTGTGTTCTTGCCCAGGGGCAACGGAGGCCAGTGTTGTGGCCATCACCCAAGCCAGAGAAGGTGTCCTGGCCTGAGGCAAAGGGAGGGATGAGAGGCCCTCAGAAGGACTCTGAAAGGGGCCAGATCCTAATTTCTCTGTTGCCAGCTTTTATAAGACACCCTTCCCCCTGAATGGGGTTACAGACACCCGCTCTGCCTGTGATCTGGAAACGATCCTGTCAAGAACCGAAGCCTGGGTCTCCCTGGGTCACTACTCTTTGTACCTGAGCAGCACCCAGCTCAGTGGGTTCAGTAGAAGAGAGCACACAAGCAAAGCAGACCCCTTTTTAAATGTATAAAGGGCTCTTAAATATTTTAAAAGAAAGCATCACTAAACAGCAGTGTTGCAGCAGCTCAACTACAGAAAAAACAAGGAAAGCGAAGTGTCCCATGCAGTACATGCAGTATTTGGTATTAGATAGCACCTCTTGTTAGAGCATACGTATTCCAGGTGTAGCTGAAGCTACTTTACAGACTATTCATCATGATGCAGCAAGAAAATATCAAGACATACTAGCATGGCATGAGCATAAATTTAGCCTGGCTTCCCTCTTGTCTATACATGTATTATATTTTCTACCTCTTGGGTCAGGTGGTCCTAATGACCCAATCAAGAGTCCTCCTTGATGGAATATTCCAGAGGCTGTCAGCACCCTCCTAATCCCCCCTCCCTCCTGGCTACAAAAGTGGATATAGGTTCTCATGGTGCACCAATTACTATTAACCAATGACTGCATTCTTGAGTCCAGCCTTGATAAAGATAAGGATTGTAGCTGCAGGAAGATTCAAGTCACAAACACCTGCATCTAGGACCAGGCCACTTAATAATCACGTAAAACCTTGTGGGAACTAGGATGCTTTGCCACACAAATCTATTCCCCTGATACTAGTTGGAATTTTTACTCTTGAATTTCTTTCCTTCCCCATACAAGAATGATCACTCTCTCTCTCTGTCTCTCTGCAAACAAAGGCAGGCATATGAGAGAGACGACGGTGGAGATAGACAACGGCCTTACATCTGAAGAAAGGCTGAGGATTTCCTCAAGAGGATCCCAAGAACATATTTCCTTCCCAAATGAGCGGGCTGAGAGTGAGTATCCCTCACGGTTATGAGAAGGGAAAAGGCAAGGACGTGCCATGGGGCATTTTCTGATTCATTTCTGAACAACGTTTCATGCAATCATACAGCCCGCTGGGGAAGGAGGGAGGGCCTGAAAACTGGAGGCTCAGAAGGTCCTTGTGGGCAAGTGCTCAGCTGTGCCACTTGAGGGGGTGAGGTCTCCTTGAATACAAGATATTCTGGGAAAAGGTGGAGGGGTGGTTAAGATCAGCCAAGGTGGACAAGGCCAAAGGGCTGTCTATCCTTTTCTACTGCAGTCAAGGAGATTCCTTTGGACCTTACCTGCCCTCCCAGGTGCTAACAGGATCACTCTATTTTTTCCAGCAGAGGATGATCTGGTTGAGGAACTTCATCACCAAATGCCAGATAAAGTTAAAAATGGAGACTTGAAAGAGAATGTCAGAAATCGAGGCGGACTGATGAGAAAGAAAGGCAGTCATATGGTTCAGAAGAGAGATGGAAGACCGTATAATGTACATATTCCAAAGCACAGGATAATGAAGACAAGTAAATCCATTTGGAGTGAAAAGTACTTTGTACACCAAAGAATACACAGAGTCGAAAAACCTTTTGAATGCTCAGAGTGTGGAAAGAGATTCAGTTGGAGTAGCCGTTTTCAAGAGCATCAGAGAACCCACACAGGGGAGAAACCTTTTGAATGCTCGGAGTGTGAAAAGAGATTCAGTAGCAGTAGCAGTCTTCGACGGCATCATAGAACCCACACAGGGGAAAAACCGTTTGAATGCTCAGAGTGTGGAAAGAGATTCAGTTGGAGTGGCAGTGTTCAACTGCATCAGAGAACCCACACAGGAGAAAAACCTTTTGAATGCTCAGAGTGTGGAAAGAGATTCAGTCAGAGTGGCAATCTTCAAGTTCATCGAAGAACCCACACTGGGGAGAAACCTTTTGAACGCTCAGAGTGTAGAAAGAGATTCAGTAGGAGTGGCCATCTTCAGCAGCATCAGAAAACCCACACAGGGGAGAAACGTTTTGAATGCTCAGAGTGTGGAAAGAGATTCAGTCAGAATGGCAATCTTCAGCAGCATCAGAGAACCCACACAGGGGAGAAACCTTTTGAATGCTCAGAGTGTGGAAAGAGATTCAGTCATGGTGGCACTCTACAGAATCACCATAGATCCCACACAGGGGAGAAACCTTTTGAATGCTCAGAGTGTGGAGAGAGATTCAGTCGGAGTGGCAATCTTCACCAGCATCAGAAAACCCACACAGGGGAGAAACCTTTTGAATGCTCAGAGTGTGGAAAGAGATTCAGTAGGAGTGGTAGTCTTCAATGGCATCGGAGTGCCCACACATGGGAGAAACCTTCTGAATGCTCAGAGTGTGGAAAGAGATTCAGTAGGAGTGGTAGTCTTCAATGGCATCGGAGTGCCCACACATGGGAGAAACCTTCTGAATGCTCAGAGTGTGGAAAGAGATTCAGTAAGAGTGGTAGTCTTCAACGGCATCAGAGAACCCACACAGGGAAGTGTCAGCATATGAGTGCTGCTTGGTAAGACATCCGGTTGGTGATCTACCTGACAGTTCATGACAGCTACATTATCTAGTTCATACTGGTTCTGACCAGAGCAGGAACCCACACAAGGAGAAATTCTTTAGCCGTGAAAAGAGCTTTTCTCCGATTTCAAACATAAAAGACAACCACAGACCATACAAAGCATTGGAAATATATAAACTTCTGTAAGAATCTTGAATCTACACAGAAACGTTATGCTAACAGGAAAGAAATGTTATAAATATTCAGAGTGTGGAAAGAGCTTGAGGCACAGACCAGACCTTCAGGTTCCTCAGAGAATGTATACAAGGGTGAAACTTTCCTATGTCTAGTTCTAATCAGGTTCTTCAAATGCCTTGGTGCTGGCGGTTCAGAAAGCCTGAGAAGGTAGTTACACAAAGAAAGGCCTTTTTAGGTTTTCCCCTCCTCTGTGAAACTTGTTACTTCAGGTTATGTGCCATTCTAAATCTGACATCTTCAAAAGTGTCAAAAACTGTTCCTTTCCCAAATTCTATGAAGGAACAGACAAGTTGAGAGTGTAACATCTCATATCCAAAACATCATACATAAATAAATGAAAAAATATAGAAAGACAGAATCTCCTAATCACCATACAAGACCTAGCCATTCCATTTCATTTATTAGCTTCATTGACCCAAGGTCTTAAGCCAGACATACAAACAGCAACTATAAAATGCATTACATATAATTTAGACCAAACGTCTTTACAATAAAAACTAGTAAACATACTCTCGAACAGTATTATCAGACCACATTTTGTAAACTTCAATGAATTCTATAAAATCCCATGATATTATGGAAATTAATTTTAAAATTTTATACATAAAACTTTTTATAACATTTCAAAGCCGCTTTAAAAATAGCTCTATCGAAAGATATTTTGCCACCAAGCGAGTCGTTTCAGGGTCCTCATCTGCTAGTAGTATGGTTATCACCCAGGGTTCCATAGGGAAGTGATGTTTTTGTAAAATAGGAATAATCCAACAGGATCTGGGGTCAATCCATTGGTGGCAAAATAACATAAGATGATCTAAGGTCTCTATTGCACCTGATCCACAATCACACAATCTATTTGAGTACTGTATTTTAGCAAAACGGCCACTTAACTCTGCAGTTGGAAAAGCATTCAACCTAGCAAGCGTGAAGACATATCTAGATCTGGGGGATGTAAGGAAGCTCATATATGAGGGAGTTTTCTTAGGTGGAACAATCCCTAAGGCAGAGTTGGAGCATACTCGCCTAGCACGAATTGAAGTGCTGAGTCGGTCAATGTTTGTCACCCTCAATCTCATCAAATTTAGCGCTTCTTGATAATTTAAATTATTAAGCCCCGTAGGGGCGAGACCAATCCACTCCAGCTTGTTATCTATATGTTTTGCCCACGTACATTTATAATTATCCCCTTTTAAAAGATAAAGAAGACCTCCTTGAGCATTAGGTGTCATATAAAGAACTTTCAGTCTCAATTTAAAGGCTGCCTTCCAGGCTCTTGACTCAAAGGAGCATTGTGCGAATTCTTCTCTAAGTGCCGTCCCTGCGACACATTTAGGGACTCCTGCAATTTTACGCAGGAACTGGAGAAGGATCTGATCTGATAATTCCGAAATTTCTTTAATCCAGATCGCAGCCCCATATAAAAATTGTGAAGTAACTTTCGCATTAAAAGCTGCAATGGCCATTGGGACATACTGGCCGCCTCTTGAATAATAGAATTTAAGGAGGGCATTAGAATTTAATTTAGCGATTTCAGTTGCTGCTCTTATATGATGTTTCCAGCGGCAACTGGAGCTGAACACTATCCCCAGATATTTGAAATGAGACACTTGTTCTATCTCCCCACCCTTAACCTTCCATGATCTTTGTTTTAAACAAGGTTTGTTAGAAAAAACCATTATTTTTGATTTCTCATAATTGATCATCAGCCCCTCTTGGATACAGTAATCAGTAAAAGCATTCACTAGCTTACGCAAGCCAACTTCTGATCTGGATAGCAGCACTGCATCATCTGCATAAAGTAGTATAGGAACTTCCTGTCCCGCTAGTATGGGTGCGTGACAGATTGTTTTTTTGATATATGGGACAACATCATTTATATAAAGATTAAAAAGCGTGGGGGCTAATAAGCATCCTTGCTTAACACCTTTAGAGAGATGAATGGTATTTGTAAGTTGCCCATCTACTCCGCAACGAATTTGTGCAGTAGGATTCTCGTACAGTTTGTAAATCAGCCAAAGAAGTCTCTTGTCTAGAGATGTTTTGGACAATTTGGCCCAGAGGCGGCATCTGGGGACTGAATCAAATGCTGCCCTGAGATCCATAAATGCTGCATAAAGGGAACCCTTTGAATAAGAAGAGTATTTATCGGCAAGATGATACAGTACCACGCAATGATCTAAGGCTGAGACTCCATTTCTAAATCCCGCTTGCTCAGGGTAAATTATAGATTCTGTTTTTATCCAGTCCAGCAGTTTATGATTTAAAAAAGCTGCATACACTTTGCCTATTACTGAAAGCAGGCTTATAGGCCTATAGTTAGTAGGAACTGTTTTTGGGCCTTTCTTATGTATTGGAACTATCACTGCATGCTTCCATGATTGAGGAATAATGCCAGATTCATTGATTTGAGTAAAAAGAGGGGCTAGAAATCTACTCCACCAGGTGGGGTTTACTTTTAGGAGATCTGCTGGAATTAAATCTGGGCCTGGAGCTTTGCCTGAACGCATTTGCATGATTAAAAGACTCACAGTCTCAGATGAAACTGGAGGCCAGAAGTTGGTTTGAGGCGGTTCAATCTGATCCCCTTGGAACTCAAAGCCAGGGGTCACAGCAAAAATAGAGGTGAAATATCTTTCCCAAATTCCGGGGGCAATACACGCTGGAATTCTATCTACTCCAGAAAGACCCCTGTTAATCAACTCCCAGAATGTTTGAGATTCATTATTGTTTATGGCTGTAATTAGAACCTTCCACTCTTGGCATGTGGCTGACCATTTTTTATATTTTACTAGGGACTTAAATTCTCTTTTTAATGATATAAGATCCATTAGATGAGCCTGGGAGTTTGTACGTTTAAATACACGGTGTTTAGACCTAATTCTTCTCATATGATCTCTGCACTCTTTATCAAACCAGGTATTTTTCCTGTCAGCCCTATTAACAGTAGCTAATTTAGAACAAATTGGCATAAAAAGATCTAAAATATTGGTTAATATTTCTATCTTCCTTGAAATATGATCGTGTTTCAGGAGTTCCTCAGTTAGAAGTTTAGAATTATTAGAGTGCATAATGTTCATTGCAGTAGGAATCAAATTTGGAGACCATCTTATTGGTCTCAAAGAGTTTCCTCCTTGTTGCAGGTCAAATGCAAGCCTAGGTGGTAACAGACAATCAGGAGTGATTGAAATAGTTAGCTGAAGGGGCAAATGATCGCCTCCCATATAATCGGCCACCTTGAAGTTGCAAATTCTAGGCAGCAAGTTTGTTGATACCAATATATAATCAATTACACTAACGCCCTTGTGTGTTACACAGGTAAAATCGCCTATGGGGTCTAGATTCTTAAGTCCATTTAAAACCACAAGACCATAGCACATCATGAGGCTGAAGAGCTGTTTACCTGCCCAATTAACCTTACAGTCCCTCGATCTCCTTTGATATAAATAAGGATAGGAAAAGTCAACCAGAGATCTTTCTTCCTCAGTTGCTATCAGGGCATCATCATTTTGGCCCATTCGAGCATTAAAATCTCCCGCAAGCAATATTGAAGCACTAGGATATTGTTGCATGATCATATCAAGGAGTTCTCTCAGATTCTTCCAGAGAGATTCAATTTCTCTCTGAACAGATAAAGGGGGAAAGTAAATTGTAATGATTATCAAAGAATAAGTTGAAAATTGCAACCATGATGCCAATATATACTGATTAGCAGCTATCTGAGATACGCTAAGACAGTTAAGCGTTGAGGAAATTAAACAGGTTAACCCGGCCTTTGGGCGACCTTTATGTAGGCTAGGTTGAGCATTCACTTCAAAAACAACAAAACCAGGTAGACAAATGCTCTCTTTGACCCAAGTTTCCTGAACCATAATGATATGAAAATTTGATATATAGGTTTTAACAGCAGGATCTTTCATTCTACAGCTCCATCCTGTGATATTCCATGATAGTATTTTAATATGAGCATTTGATGGTTGTCAATTCAAGGTAGCCTCAAGCAGAGGTTTCTTTGAGAGTAGAGCTTCAGATTTCTTCTCCGCGCCTCCATTCACTATAATTAGTGGCTCTAAGGGAATATGCTTATTGGTTTGTGGCAGGACATTTGAGTTTCGCTTCAGAGGAAGCGATATTAATATCACATGGTGGAGTGTCTGAAATTATCGAGATCACATCATCTATTTTAGTAAGAATAACATTAGAATTTTGTGGTGGAACATTTGGGATTACTAGAATCTCTTCATTTATTACAGAAGGAACATCACCGCCATGGGAAGGTTCCATTGAATGTTTGGAGCTTAACTTAATTTCTCTGAGGGAAGCCAACAGAGTTTGAAGCTGATTTAGTAGATTATCTTGGTCAGCTGGGGGTAAAGCTCCAAAAGAGGCCAAAATCCCTTGTTCCACATCATCATTTATTTCAGTCAGTATTGTATTTATCACTTCCATGGGTTCAGCTCTTGGGTTTAGCATTAAAGGATGTGGGTTTTGAATTCTCACTTCAGGGGGCGATTTTATAGGAGAAGAGAGATCAATAAGCATTGATAGGTCTAGTGAATCTTGCATTTTTGTTCTGCTGATCTCCTTCTGTTTAATCCTAGCATTATCTAGATTCATTTTCAATGGACATAAAGCCGGAACAACTAATTGATGAACAGAGTGATCCTTAAAATATCTTTGAAAATTAATCCCAAACCTAGCATATTCAAAACAGTGTGCTAACAGACAGGTAGGAATATTACTAGAGTGAAATATAAATCGAAAGCGTTCAAAACATAATGGACCAGGAATTCGTTCAACCTTGATAAGATCAATAGAGGATGGTCTGGTTTTGAGAAAAAATGCGACAAAAAATTGCTCAGAGCTAGGCGCGAGTTAGAGCTACTTGAAATCACATGCATACAAAAGAACCTGTTATTTCTAAGACAAAATCTATGGCATAACTCTGCAAAATCTTTAAAAATCTTAGCCAAGAGAGTCAACTCAAAATGCATCGAGAGAACAATTTATAGCATTAAGGACAAGAAAGGTAAATTACATACCATAAACAAATCTATAACACAAACATTTTGGGATTACTACAACAACCTATACTCCTCAAATAACACACCACAAAATAGTATCACTGAGCACTTTCACAAACATCCCATTCCAAAAATAAGAACAGAACACAAAGAAATAATGGAAAAACCCATCCTGAAACAAGAGATCATAGACTCCATCAAAAGATTAAAAACAAATAAATCGTCTGGCCCAGACGGTTACACAAATGAATTCTACAAAACCTTTGCTCACATCTTAGCGGAGCCCTTAGCAATGGCTTGCAACCACATACTACCCACTGGACAGCTTCTGCCATCATGGTCACAAGCCACAGTGGTAGTCCTACCCAAACCACATAGAGATGCTACATTACCCTCTTCATACAGACCAATCTCACTACTGAACGTAGACTCCAAAATTTTTACCTCAATTATAGCCAAGAGATTGAACACATTTATAACATTATATCTCACAAGATCAAGTAGGATTCATGCCTAATAGAGATCTAATAGACAACACTCACAAGGTCCTCAACATAATAGACATAACAAAACAAAACAGAAATGATCCTGCTTTCCCTAGACATAGAGAAAGCTTTTGATACTCTAGAAATACCATACCTGAAAGAACTTTTACTAAGGATGGGCTTTGGTCAAAAATTCTTAAACGTCATCAATGCCATTTACAAAGAACCAAAATCGTGCCTAAAACTAAATGACACACTCTCAACACCATTTATTATTGGAAAAGGGGTGCCCTTTCTCACCCCTACTATTCGCAATCGCAATAGAACCACTAGCCTACATGATCAGAAATAAAGATGATATTGATAGAATCGAAATAGGGAAGAAAAACTATAAACTTATACTTGCGGATGACATGTTACTGTTTTTAACCAACCCAAAGAATCACTACCCTCACTACAAAATAAACCAAACAAAATCAAAATTGATGCCGATCCACATAGCAAGGAATACAAAGGAAAATTTAGAGACAACTAAATATGAATGGACCGATTCCACATTAACATGTCTGGGAATCAAAATCCCAAGGGACCCGAATGAGTTAATAGATCAGAATCATACACGTATAATTAAGGAAATTAAAACCCAACTGCAAAATTGGGAGAAAACAAACCCAAATTGGAAAGACAGATACAACAATGAAATCCTTTATTCTCCCCAAATTCATCTTCCTTTTCAGAACAATATCAATGAAAATACCGAAGTCGAAATTAAAAGAATGGCAAAGTACATTGAATAACTTCCTCTGGGCTCATAAAACACGATGATATTACAAGTTTATGGTCTCCCATATTAGCACACCTAACCACTAAAGGAACAATACCTGATGTAATAAATACTCTTCACCTCATTTAGCAATCTCAAAAGGTATTCTAGACATACTGTACGGACAGTATGTAACGGGAAGTGTCACTCTTTAGACTTTTTAGATTAGACTCTAAGCTCTCATGTCATAAGGTTTGACTTGTAAGACATTGAAAAGCAGCATCCTTAGACTAGACTATATGGAGCTATATTTATTTGCATGTATAAAATAATATATGCAGGCTCTATGTACACGCCTATCCTGTTGTGAATCTTGTTGTTAATGTAAAATGAATAAAACCATTTTTTGGGGGGGAAATAATTGCTCACAGCACTGAGGAGCTGAGAGGGAACTCTAGTCAAGAAGAGCCAGGCAAGACCCAACTGCCTAATCTCGCACTGTTCTTGGGCGGATGACATCCGACTCGGCCCTGTTTCATTTGCCATGTCTCTAGGATCTCCCGAAGGTGAACGAAGGAGAAGAGAAGAGATGAGCTTGGATTTATACCCTGCCCTTCACTACCCAAAGGGAGTCTCAGAGCGGCTTACAAACCCCTTTCCCTTCCCCGCCCCACAACAGACACCCTGGGAGGTAGGCGGGGCCGAGAGAGCTCTTGACAGAAACTGCCCTTTTTCAAGGACAGCTCTTATCAGAACTACGGCTTGCCCAAGGTCATCCAGCTAGGTGCAAGTGGAGGAGTGGGGAATCAAGCCCGGTTCTCCCAGATTAGAGTCCACGCACTTAACCACGACACCAAACTGGCTGTCACACCAAACGAAGGCCTTTCCTGGCACCTGGATGGCTCTCGCCCAGGGATTAAAACAAGGGTGTCGAATTTATTTGTTATGAGGGCCGGATCTGGCATAAATGGGACTTTGTCAGGCCCGGCTGTAAATAGGGTTGCCAACCAAAGTTCTGTTTGTCAACTCTCTCCATCCCGTGCCTAGTTTTATAAACCTCTATCATGCCGTCCCCCCCCCCCGAGTCCTCTGTTTTCTAAAATGAACAATCCCAAACTCTTCAGCCTTTCCCCATGGGAATGTTTCTCCGACCCCCTAAACATCTTGGTTGTCCTCTTCTGTATTTTTTCTACCTCTGCAGTGTGATGTCCTTTTTGAGATATGGTGACCAGAACTACTCAGTATTCCAAATGAGGCTGCTCCATAGATTTATACAGGGGCGCTATAGATCTCTGGGGCGTTAGAAATCCACCTTCCACATTCCAGAGAGATGTTTAATGTTCCTCTCCTGTGTGAATGGTTTGTTGTACAATAAGATGGGAAGTGACCTCGTGGCAGGAATCCCTTGGCAAGTCACGTTGTGAGACTGAATTTCTTTCCACTCACCAGAGCGGTGAGAATTCTGTGCTGGTGCAAAAAGCTCCAACAGACACTGGAGCACTTTTCACACGTGAGGAAATTCCCTGTGTGAATTCAGGCCTCTGCTGTCCCTGAAGCTCTTTCCACACAGCCACAAGGTCTCTCCTGTGGGATTTCTTTGAATAAAGGTCTGGTTTATTGTGAACATATCTAACCCTAACCCACAGAGTCCAGGCGTGGGTTCTTTGACAGGGTGGCAGCTTAAGGGGATCGAGGCCTCTGTACACAAGGAAATCTATCATCCACACACTCTTTGGCTCAGGTAAGGTAAAGGTTTCCCTTGCTCGAAAGCCAGTCGAATCCGACTCTAGGGATGCGGTGCACATCTCTGTTTCCAAGCCCTCCTCCCTCGGCCTCTCTAGCAAACAGCTTGACTGTTTTAACCCTTTCAGGGCTGCAGACGCACTGTCCAAAGAAGTTTCTGTGGTCATGTGGCCGGCATGACTAAACACCGAGGCGCATGAAATGCTGTTACCTTCCCACCGAAGTGGTACCTATTTATCGACTTGCAATTTCTTGCTTTCGAACTGCTAGGTTGGCAGGAGCTGGGGCCAGAGATGGGCGCTCACGCCGTCATGCGGCACACTCGGGTCTCGAGTGGTACCTATTTATCTACTTGCAATTTCTTGCTTTCAAACTGCTAGGTTGGCAGGAGCTGGAACTAGAGATGGGGAGCTCACTCCGTCATGCGGCAACTCGGGTCTCGAACTGCTGAACTACCAACCTTCCACAGCCTGCAGTTCAGTGTCTTAACCACTTGAGCCACCGCAGCTCCTTGGTGTCCTACTTGGGAGTAAACCTCTCCAGGATTAGGTTGCAAAAGGCTTGGCCCTTCTGCTGCTTGTCTCTTTAACCCTCCCTGTTCCCTTCCCCACTTCGGAAGCAAACCCTTCTTACCGCCCCCCTCCTCCCTCGGCCTCTCTAGCAAACAGCTTGACTGTTTTAACCCTTTCAGGGCTGCAGACGCAAGAAAAAGGCTTCCTGCCCTTCCACCAGAGCAGCCCCCACCAGGGACTGGACTTCGCCACTAGCAGGGTCTTCTCTAGTGAGTGCTCCCTTCTCATTTGGTGGCCAAAGTATTTGAGCTTCATTTTCATTATCTGGCCTTCCAGGGAACAGTCAGGGTTGATTTCTTTTAGGATTGACTGATTTGATCTTTTTGCAGTCCAAGGGACTCTCAAGAGTCTTCTCCAGCACCATAGTTCAAAAGAATCTATTCTTCGGCGCTCGGCCTTCCTTATAGTCCAACTCTCGCAGCCATACATGACTACTGGGAATACCATTGCTTTGACCATGCGGACTTTTGTTGGCAGGGTGATGTCTCTGCTTTTTATCATGCTGTTTAGGTTCACCATCGCTTTCCTCCCAAGGAGCAGGTGTCTTTTAATTTAATGGCTGCTGTCACAGTCTGCGGTGATCTGGGATCCCAGGAAGGTGAAGTCTGTCACTACTTCCATGACTTCCCCTTGTATTTGCCAAGGAGTGATGGGGCTGGATGCCATGATCTTAGTTTTTTTGATGTTGAGCTTCAAGCCCACTTTTGCGCTCTTCTCTTTTACCCTGAGCAAGAGGCTCTCAAGGTCCTCTTCACTTCCTGCCATTAGAGTGGTATCGTCTGCATATCTGAGGTTGTTCATCTTTTCCCCAGCAATCTTAATTCCCGCTTAATCCAGGCCAGCATTTCGCATGATGTACTCTGCATATAATATATATATATATATACACACACACACACACAAAATAAGCAAGGTGACAATTGAAGGGGGGTGGGGGGGTCCAAATACAGCCTCCTTCCTTCCCGGGAATCCGGGCTCCTCGGTCCCTCCCCCCTCCCAGCAATACCCTGGAGAACTCTCGCCGGGGCGCCTCCTGGCCGCCTGCGAGCTCCTGCGTTTTCTCCCCAGACCTCGGAGCGGCCTCCTACATAAGAGAAGCCAATGTTGGGTCAGGCCAGTGGCCCATCCAGTCCAACACTCTGTGTCACACAGTGGCCAGAAATACCAGGTGCCATCAGGAGGTCCATCAGTGGGGCCAGGACATTAGAAGCCCTCCCACTGTTGACCCCCCCCAAGCACCAAGAAGACAGAGCATCCCTTGCCCCAGAGTCCCTATCTATCCCTTGTGGCGCTAATAGCCACTGATGGACCTCTGCTCCAGATGCTTATCTAATTCACTCTTGAAGCCGTCCATGCTTGTAGCCGCCGCCACCTCCTCTCCTAGTCCATGTAAAAAAGAAGAGCGGGGGAGCCTCCTAAGGTCTCGCCGCCCCCCCCCCTTTGACAGTCATTCTAGGAGGTGGATGACTGGGGGGGGGGGGTCAACCCAGCTTCAGCCTCCTTTTTCCGAGACGGCGGAACAGCGCAGGATCCTCCGGGCGTGGAGGAGCCCCGTGCAGAGTGACTCCCAAGGAGCCCCATTGAGCAGCCCAGGGCGTCGCAGACGGCAGCTCGACTGAAGCTCCTCCTGGAGGAGACCGGAGGCCTGCAGCACTGCGAGGGTTAAACGCCCGGAGCCTTTTGCTGGCGCGGCCGAGCAAGGGGGGGGGGTCCGGGAAAGAGGAGGGGCTGTTTTGCGTTTCAGGCGCGCGCGCATGCGGGTCCGGGGAGGGGGGTTTGCATCTGGACTGGGGGAGGGAAG